AGCGGCAGAAGTCGAGGAGACGGCGCTCTTTGCTGGAGTACCGATCGGGTCCGCCGCCGTGGGAGTGTTGTTGGCGAATCGAGACTTGCTGGTGTTGGGAGAAGAGGAGAGGGCGGTTGTTCCTGCACCAGCGGGTGAGGGAAGAGTGGTCGATCGACCGGGAGTGGAAGGAGCGGGAGATTGAACGTCGAGCTGCCGAGTAGGATGGTGTGAGTGTACATCTGAGAGTGAGGAGAGCGTAGCTACTTACACCGGAATCAACCGTCTTGACGTCCTTGTTTTCGCTGTTGGAAGCCATTGTTGTTTACAGTAGTTTTCGAAGAGTGAAAGGGTGCCTTAGTACACTTTTGAGAATTTTCTTTGCTGTTACACCTCTACAGTCACAGATGTCGCTTCAAAGATCAAGCAGAAAAAAGGTGGGATACACAAACAAGAAATGTGTGGCGTTTGGTGGTTCTTCTCGGAGATTCAAGAAGTCGTCCTAACGGTGTTCTGAAAATCGGTGGTCGGGAAGAAGACACTTGGTCGGCACACTGGTTTCGAGTCGGAGACACCGGTCGTGTTTTCTTTTCGAGTCGAAGATTGGCTTGTCTGTTCTTTGTTATACAAGGTACGAGTCCAGAGAGAAGGAAAGGGGAGCGAGTGATGGTGGAAGGGGAGTAGAACTATCCAGATGTGGTTGAACGGTAGTACTGATAGACAAAGGAATGACCGTGACCCTTGCTCTCCCGTATTCGGATCCTCGAACGAGCAGCAGTTCCTCGAGCGCTCAACAAAATATTAGCAGCCGCTCATTGGTTAGCGCGCGACTGAAAGAAAAAGGAAAAAGTGGAAACCGGCCGCTACAGTAGAGTCGTCCACAATTAAGGCGGGCGCGCCAAGGAGGCGCTGTACAACTGGTTGAAGTATGCCAGTCGCAGAGTGACGAAACTTCATGTCGCTCACAAGCCCCCGAGAGCCAGCGAATCCACCTGTAGAGGACTGGCATCTCGTGAATGTCCCCACGTGAATGAAATTCGACACGGCTATCGCACATGCATTCCGCTGGAACCTCAGTACGTAGGAAGTTGCGGCCCGACAGCTACCCGCTACTAGCTAGGGTATGCATCGATCAAGGCAAGCATAACTTTTCCCCAGCGGCGCTTTGATTGACAGCATACAAGCCTTCTTACATGCTCTCTTATAGACTGCTTATCAATCGATGCATCCTTCAAAAAAAAATGCTGACTACTGCTGAAGTAAAATGTCGAATACATGAGAAAAGAGTAGGACAATGAAGTACAACAGCTTAGGGAGAATGAGATCCGCCCATCTTGCAAGAAAGAGTGGAAACGGTCTAAGTGCCGCATAAAATGGTACATTACTGAGGAGGAAACTTGCACCGATTCCGGCTGGGTTAGAGGAGGGTTGGGTGGACATTGATTCATGGTGACGAACGAGGTCAGGAGAGGATCACAAAGGAAAGTTGTTATCGAGTCCGCCTCCGCTTGCTATTACGGAAAGGACCACTGAATCCAACTCGAAATGGGATATGTCGCCTGTCAGCATTCGCCTGTGGAGAAGGTGGAGCATTCTCTTTATCTCGTTTCCCTGATTCCGAGAATTCTGAATCGCCGCTATCCGTTTCCATTTGTTCAGGACCGCGTTTCCGCCGGCTGGTCGTGACAGATGGAGAACCCCTGTTGATGGCGGCTCTGAGTGCCTTCAGCCCTCCCGGTGACGATACTGACCCCTCGGAGGAGACGCTGGGAGTGCGATTGACAACTTGAGGAGGAAAATCGAAACCTTCGTGGTCTGAGGCGTTAGTCACTTCCTCTGGAAAGATAACGGTTTCCGCTTCAGACGGGAGCGGGCTCTGCGGATCGCCATTGTCTACCACTGATGCGTTAGAGCGCCCGGAGAGCCACGACGCTGGGGATAGATGCAGCACCGGTGGTGAGGAAGGGATGTGTGGCTGTGCGCTAGGAAACACAGAGCCCGGACTGCCTGGAAGTGGTCCTTCTAATGAGCCCTTGTCGGAGGAGGACCAGGTGGTCATGTCAACTAGAAGCGAAAGGCAGGGATGAGCTGTAGGTTGAAGCGGTCTCACAGACTGCAAAGCTATTCTTCCAGTGACAATCGGGGAATGCAGCGCTACGCGAAGGACCTTATATACGCTGACGGCGGCTTCCATTGAACTGCGCCGGACGAGAACCAGGCAAGTCGATGGTGCATTTTTGCCCGAGTTTATGCGCTCGAGGTAAGGAGGCGAGAGTCTTTGACAAAGGAGAGCGACTGTTGGTGGGCACCGCCTTGCTCTGTCACTGTGGAGCCTGTCTTTGCCAGGAGATGCAAGTTGACCAATTTCAAGACGCCCGTATCATATGCTGCAGCAAAGCGCGTGGCGTTGGATCGACGGCTTTCCAGGATGCCTCTCAGAAGGCTTGTTACCTGTCTTTCCTTGAGGTCTGCAAACCGTTCCTTCGCAAAGAAAGGGCAGGAGAAATCAGCTGCGGGATTTGAATGAAAGCTGGATGGATGCCTGTCGGATCACCGGTCTGTAGGCAGAACGTAGATTCTCAGATCGCTCGTATAATGGGAAGTGCTACTGTCGCCCATGTGCGCCTTTGTCACGGGTCTTACAGGATCTCTGATAGCAATTTCCCTTCTAAAGTTCACGGATAATCGTACAATAACGAATATTACAAGGATGAAGAAAGGACAGTTCCGACTTCCGAGTTTATGATGACCCGGGGTCTTCTCCCTTCGAGTTCCACAATCTTTCCACAATCTCTCGAAGTCTGACAAGGTGCGGCCTTCCTCCCTCACGCTGTCGTCACCACCTTCCCTCGTCTCAGCAGTGCCGTTCTCCGGCAAGAGTTACGAGAAAAGCTTGCGCCTGATGTGTCGATGTAGACTGTAGTTCCCTTTCACAAGCAGCTTTTCTTTCTCTGGACTATTGAACTTACTCAGCCTGCGCTTTTTTCCCTTCGAGACAGCTGGGCTTCCCTGTTTAGTAAACGTCCAACTCTGCCTTTCCTTCAGTTGTCCTTGTTCTCTTAAAAAGGAATGGTCCTCCGTGTTGACAATATCCGCCTTTCCCTTCAGGGTGCCCTCCGGCTGTTCCCCACCTTCTGGCGAATCTTCGGATGGCTGCGATGTGACTGAGGGTGGGTGTTCCCAATCATCAGACCTAATCCAGCTTTATGGTCTGTTCTCTGGTGCTGTCCCTTCTCGGATTGAAACATGAGCCGGGGACTTCGTCGATGAGTTCTTGTCGTCGGTTCCAGGACGGTTCAATACGGTCATGTAGGTCAGCGGAACCATCGGTTGTCATATGAGCAATACCACGTCGTATCCGACACTTCAGCCACCACTCACGACCTCCCTGCTAGCGGGCGTCTAAATCGTCTGAACCGAGGTTAGGATCGTCGATATCGACGCTCCAATGGTAGCGGATTGTAAGTTTCTCACCCTTTACCCTATTTGTCCTTTGCTTATTGCTTCGCACTTGTGCAGTTAGTCTATAGTTCGCCACCATCTGTTGTAACAGTAGTAGGAGATTTAGTGAGTTAAGGTGATTGGTTCGAACCTGGGAAGTGCTCCTTTTTATCTTTGTCACTTTGTCATTTCGATATTCGGAACGAAGTGCCAATAGTAGGTCGTACCCCTAGGTGTCCTTAGGAGCCGTTGGACAGGGTTGGCCTCGCCACCCAGATTTGACGTCTGTATAAGACAGCCAGAAAGGTTGTAAGTTTTGCCTCTATGATTTATAAAACACGCTTTTCCTCTTTAACTCCTGATCAGCGTCCTTGATAGCACTGACAATTATACTGAGTAATCCTGCTAGACTGGCTTCATGTAGCAGTCTTCTCATTACAATCAGTAAGTTAGCCGTTTACTTAATACGATACACATAGTCGTGAAGCATAATACCTTTTGAGTTGCCCCACCAAAGAGCTTGCACTGTTTCAATAGTTAGTATACCTTCTACATATACTATATTTGAAACAACATTTGCGCGCCTCTTACACGGTTGTACGAGGGTCGATATCGACGATACCAGTTTGAGGAGGCCAGAGTCGTTTTTCGCCAAACATTCTTTTCCGTGTCATACGGGTATGACGAATACGACTCCTGGTTCGCCTGCGCTACCGGGAGTCGTTTCAAAACTGCTCATTTTTTCCATGATGTTATTTGTGCCCTCTATGACACAAACAACTATCAGATACAAGACTGATCTTCTCGTGTGCACGTGATTACGCCTCCAGTTTCTAACACCATCGAACCTGGTGAGAACACCTGAGAGTTCTTCGTTTGCCAGTATTGTGCAGCCAGAGTCGTACCGGTCGTTCTCTCTGTCACAGGGAACATTGTGTGACGCATGCGATGGAGTTCTCAACGACATGAAATGATGGGCCGGCGGAGAGTGAAGAAAGTATTCTGGAGCGTTCGTTCACGAAGATTTGCTCGATAGAGGCTGGGCGACGACGGATGTCTAAGAAACTAGCTGTTGGAGGATTGTCCATGTCGTTGCCTGTTTTCGCTGCCCATTATGACGATGGCTTATTCGCTCAGGGTAGTCCGGGGTGTTTAGCGTGGGCGGGTAATTGCTGTATTTCCATGAGTCCTTTCCCTTACGCACGCGCAGGACTTTGGGCGGGACTCGACAAACGACTACCAAGGAGTATAGCAAGGCTGTGCAATGCCCCACTGTCTGCAAGGGACGCTCACCTTGCAGCTGTGCTAATCAACAGAAAAACAATCCCAGCTCGGCGCTCTCCCTGACGACAGGTGCCCATCGCTTGTCGATGTATAATTCATCGCTCGATATGGTATAGTTGTGGCTTTGACAGCAGGTAACGGGGAAAAAAGATTCACTGAAACCGATGTGGCGTTGGCGACACTATGACAGATGGTAGGTAGGGCTGAGCTGTGAGCTCGCCACAAAAGACAGTAATGGACCGAATGGCATGGTAATGGTAGAAAAGCAATGTACTCGTGACCCGAGACAAAAGGGTTGATCAATAGCGGGATCGAACCGCTGACCTTACGCTGTGCTATTATCCGGAAGGATATTAGGCGTATGCTCTACCGACTAAGCTAACCGACCTGTAATGTTTTCTCGATAAGAAGTATTACAAAACAACTTTATTTCATGAGACTACTTTTCGTTTTCTTCTCCACCATAAATACGCGACGCGACGACCTCCGGCCGGCGCTCCATGTCGCAGCAACTACTGCAACTACCAAGAGGTTCCCGCTGCATAAGAGATAGACAGAAACAATGCACATATTCTACAGTCTGGCCTACCTACTCTATGGATAATCATCTATATAACAAATTATATCGACATCCGCCGGAGCCTGGCGCCCCTCTTAATCGCCTTCTCGCCTTTCACATCGTCGACCAGTCCCGTTGGCAATCGACCTTCTTCTTTCCACTTTTGCAGGATCTCGCGTCCTGCTGTCAGACCAACCTTGTAGACGTCATTGAACTGAGCAAATCCGCCCAAGGTTTCGAATTGCTATCCGTGAAGGGAGGTTAGAACCTTCACATGATGAAAAAGGAGCGTTGTAACATACTTGCACGGGCATAGCGTAGTATAGGCAGCCAGGTGTATTCTTGGCCTCTTCCAATGTACGAACGCTTGCCACGCTGTGGAGGCGCAGATTGTCAGTACGAGATACGCTACGATAGAATCGCTAGACCTACTATGTCAATCTACCCGACACTTCAGCCATAGAGAGCACCTGCTGTTTCGCAAACGGATTCATCCTGTAGGGATGTATTAAATAAGCGTCACATGAAGAGGATCGGGAAGGTATCATCTTACTTGTTGAGCAAAATGCCCCAGCCAGAAACCGAATCACCGTAATTTCGTGGTGACGTGTCGTCTATCGATCCGACATCAATCGCAATCACGTCCGTTGGACCCATCGACATCATGACGGACACCGGCAAGTTATCGATATAGCCGCCATCCACCAGCAGGTCACCACGATCCGATATCGGAGGCAAAAGACCTGCCAGCGTCATGGAGGCACGTACGTATCGCCACGCGTAACCGGTCTTGTGGATTTCCATACGGGAATGGGTAATGTTGGTAGAGTTGGCGAAAAAGGGAATCCACATGTCTTCCAGATGCACATCGTAGAATGCCTTGTAGATACCACGATTAAATTCGTGACCTAGAGAAGTCACAAGTCAGCGTTAACGCTTTACCGGAAGGAAATGTACTTACCTGTCGTATACGCAGCGAAAGGATATGTGACATCGCTGACAAGACGCCAAATTGAGCCCATTCGACCCGAAAACTGTTTCGCACGCCCTCTTGTAGATAAAAGGTCTGCTTCTCGCGCGTACAGACCACCAACAAATGCCCCGATAGAGCACCCGCCGATAGCATCAACGGGTATCTGCGCTTCTTCCAGAGCCTGCAGCATTCCGATATGTGAGATACCACGTCCTCCTCCGCCTCCGAGAACGAGACCAATCGACTTGCCACACAATCTCCTCGCCAATCTCGCAAAGTCGTTCATGTGTGGTGGTCGCCTAGGGCGATCTGATGGGCGGAACCGATACTTTTTGATCCTTGTCTCGACCTTTTCCCGCAAATGCTTGAAAGCGGCAATAGCAGCGGGATCATGCACCAGCATGGGAGTCTTGTTGGGCAAAACTATTCCAGGGAGTTCCACGTGATGATGGCCGGAGATGTATGAACGGTCCTGCAGGCGAAAGGGTCAGCATGATATCTGGCATGCATCTGGCCTGCACGTACCTTCAACCATCGACGCGTGAATCCACTTGCGACATATCGTTCGGGATGCAAGAGTACAAGCTCTTTTCTAGCCGTGGTTTTCGTTGCCAGAAGAAGCTTTTCATATTCGCCCAACGCAACATCGTCTCCCATTCCGACTATCAACACGAAGTCGGCCTGTTGTCGAACATGTTAGATCAGCTACGAATTTATCGAAAGGAGCAAAACATACCTGACGGATAGAAGTCAACGTCCATTGGCTTGTTACTGGAGTATCGACCACATAGAGCACAGTCCGATTCCTCTGTTCACGCTCCGCAAGCCACCCGGCGATTTTCAATTTTCCCATCTTTGAAAAGGCATGTCGACCGAGCTGCCGCATGACGGATGCCTGATTGAGGTATGCCGTCGGTGCACCGATATCCTCCAAGGCGTTACGAAGGCGCTCCGCAAAGGCCGCGATAGGCACACTACCAGTGACAGGTAGAATACACACCGTCTTCAGGTTGAGATTCGCCCCGGAAGATCCAGAGAAGGGCTTGGCAACAGGATTTTGACGCAGAGACGGGCCCGCTGCTTGTTTCACTCGAGATGCGATAAGGCGCAAGAAGCGGATGGTCGTTGCCGGATGCTGCACGGATACCGCATTGAAGAGCGTCATCGGCATTTTGACGAGCTCCGAGTCTCGTATGGCATGAACGGTATTCGGACGTGCAGAGTCTGTGATCGCTTCGAGCTCGCCAATCGGACTACCTTGACCATACTCTGCTATCAGGTCCACTTTTCCAGAGGCGTGTTCATGCACGGATCGTAGTCGACCGTTGATGACAATGTAGAATGAATCGCTCTTGTCCCCTTCGCGATAAAGAACCTGACCCGCGTTGATCTGCTCCCAGTCGAGGGCGAGATCGAGGTCGTGTACCAAGGGCGAGAGCAGTGAAATCAACCGCTTGGCCAAGGTCAACAATACGATCGGCCTCCTTTCAAGCAGTCGTTCGAACGAGGTGTGGGGTAACAAACCGACGTAACAGTCCGTTTTCGCGGTTACATTCGTATACGAAGGTGTTCCACAAAGCGAAGCGAGGTACCCAGCGATTCCACCCGGCTTGACCGTAAACAGATAGTCTTGTGCGGCTTTCGGTTTCTCCCCTGTTTGTTCGTCGTTTCGATTCTGCTTTTCGTTCATCATTGCCGGTACCGGGTCCACGGAAAGCGTCGGACTCTCGCTGCCGGCACGCGCGATCGAGACATCCAGGAAACCATCAATGACGAAGAAGAGACCGGGATTGGTTTCACCCTCGCCGACGAGCTTGCTGCCGGCTTTAAAGTAGAGGATCTGAACGTCGTTTTCCAGATCTCCAAGACGGCCAGTGGCGCTTGTTGTGGTTCCGGTGACACTCGACTCGTCGTCCGCCGTCATCCGATCCTTGAAATGTAGACCCGAGCTATTGTTCCCCTGCAGCATATCAAGCATCGACAGGTTGCCAAACGGCGACCGTGACTGATTTCTGGAATGCGCACCCGTGCCAGAAACCGAACCGCTAGCGCCACCAAAGATGGGTGAATTCGGCGTTGAATATCCCTGCGACTCTGTACCCGTCGATTCCGGTGTCGGGCTTTGTATAAGCCCAATAGACTCTGCAATACTAACCATGACGGCATCACGCAGATCGAAATCATCCCCTAGGGCTTCTTGCTGCCGTTTCGGCAGATCACCAAGGGAATTCATCCCGAAATCCGATGACCGTTTGAGGCCGAGCGTGGACATTGATTGACCAAACGATGGTTTTTCGAGCCACGTATCCATCCGCTTCAGTCCCGGTGTTCGAGCACTCTGTGGGCCAGGTCGATACAGCGGGCCTTCATTTGATGCATTGTTCGTTGTCATGCTCATCAGATCGCCGGCGCCGACTTGTTTCCTTGACGTGCCTCGTCTGAACGTTTCCCGCGTATCAGCGATCGGTCGGGATGAACTTGCAACAGGTACTTGAGCCTCAAGCTTTGTCATTCCCAGACCCTGCATCTTCTTTCCCTTTTCCCTTACCGTGGAGGGCGACGACACGTTGTTGACAGCCGTGCGAGCCGACGCGACACTCGGTGTCCGTCCATCTTTCGGCGTCACGGAATTCAAGGTAGAGGATTTCGTGGAACCAGTCGACGAGTGACGAGGCGAATCAGGTGCGAAACTGAAATAATCCTTTTCCGACGCCGGTCGATCCGGATTTGTCGTCGTCGTCGGCGGATACCGATCTCGAACAGTCGTATTCGTGTAGAGCCCGCCGAACCCTCCCTCCTTTGAGGCCCGTTCCGACCCACCCGACCTCTCACGCTCCTCCTCCTCCGCCTCCTCCCTTGCAGCCGCAGCTTTCGCCTCGGGCCTAAACCGACTCCGCAACCCATCCATGCCCCCGCTTTCGTAAAACTCTATCGGCAACGGATAACTAACCAACGAATTCAACTTGTCCTCTGCCTGCAACACTTCCTTTGTCAACCCCAAGTACCGATGCGCGGTCATGAATGTGACGCGGGCGAACCGTGTGAGAATGACACTGACGATCTGGCCGGTCGCTTTGGGGAATTTGTAGCGGAGGCGTTTGAATGCGTGGGATGGGATGACGGCGAGTGTTGTATCGACTGTTGCGCGTGCGATTACGCGGGATGGACGTGGGTGGTGGTGGTCGGAGGACGGGGTGGTGGTGGTGTGGTGCGGGACGTTGGAGCGTGTCGCGGTCGTTGTGCTTTTTTCTGTGCGGGACGACCGTGTCCGCCGTGGTGCGGGAATCGAGCTCGTGCCTTTCCCCTTCCGCCAACCATGACCGCCAGGCTCCGTCCCGCGCACCTTGGCTCCCATACTCGGAGACGGATGTAGAGAGCTTGCCGAAGAACTCGGCGTGCTACCATTCGCGGCGTTGGTGGTCGTCGTCGTCCTTCCCAAAGCCGCGAAATCAAGCTGACTGACATCGGAATCGCTCCGCCGTTCCTTTTGCCGCTTTCGTGGAATCTCGGTCGTCACGGACCCATTCTCCGCGTCCGCGTCCGCGTCCGCGTCCGCATCCATGTCTTCCTCCTCGTCTTCGTCTGTGTCTTCAAAGGCGTTTCCGCTTGATCCAGCAGAACGGTCACCGAAATCCGCGTCGTCGTCGTCGTCGTCGTCGTCGTCGTGATCATCCTCATCATCTTCAAACATCTCTTCCCCACCTTGGCCCTCCCCGCCGCTATACTCCTGCTCGCCGTCCCAGCTAAGCCTGACATCTTCCGTGAACAAGCTAAGAATCGTGAACAACGAACTCAACGTGCCGCCCGTCGAGACCTCGTTCAACAGCTGATAACCATTATAACTCCCATCCAGGCC